CGAACGCGAATTCAAACTTGTAAACAAAGCTTGACAGTGTCATTGTGAGCAAAAAGTCGCGATTTTGTAAGTATTTTTCCCAAATTCCCGTTTTTTCATGTTGTTTTAAACCCTTTAAATCCCCAGGAATATAAAGAAATCATTTATATGCAGTAAGATTAGGGATTATATACGATTTCTTGTGAAATCAAAATGACAGCTCCAATCTTCCCACTTTTCATGCATGTTTATCTTGCGAGAAAATGTTTTAAAGACTTGCGCACCGAATCACGACGGTGCCGTTGCTGATGTTTCATTTTACCGTATAGTACTCAATTTGGGAGGGATTTTGCTGTAGAAAACCCCATCTCGCATACCTAACCCCAATATTAAGGGAGGGTATGTAAGGCACCAAGGAAATTGGAAATTGGGTGCCAGTCCAGTTTCATACAGCCTTCTTTTAAACGGAAAAGGATATTTGCAAACAATAGAGGGAATGATTCTGAGGAACTCATCTTCTATACTTTCTTCGCAGCTCAAAAACATGATTATTTGACACACAAGTGTCTCAGAGCCCAAAATGAAAAACTATCAGTATTTTGACCCACTAGCACCGGTACATTTTCAAGCTGAAAATAATAGTTTCCGAGTGGCTTCAAAATCGGCGTATGGGCCAGTCCATCATTTTGTGTTCATTAAATATATTATTTTTTCAGTTTGTTTTTCTTAATTTCCAGGCCAAAATGATGCGAAAATCAAATTTAGGGGCTGGAAGTGTTCAGCGCCCTGGAACCCTGAAACCTCGAAATACAGACAATACTCCAAATAACAGGTGAGTTAGGACTATCTTGTAAATAAAAACATTATACTTGAAACCACTTCAATTTTAAAAGATTTGACTGTAATTACTGAATTGACTCTATTTTTATGTATAAATATAAAAAGTTAAATGTATATTCTTTGATAAGGTCTAGGCAGTGCAATGACATGTGTATGAATTTGTTGATACATCGTATTATGCAAGCTAGCAAAGTAATTTCGACACTTCAGGCGGAGTGCAGGGCAACAGATGAGGAAGTCTTACCTTCCCAAAGCCTCACAAGTAGACAGTGCTAAGAAACTAGCCAGTAGAAGTAAGCGCATCAGTGCGGAAGGACTCAGCAGACTCTCCATCGCTTCGGGAAGATTTACCCCCACTAGGAACAATGTCCCGGTCTCAAGCATGTTGGCTCCTCCCAGTGTCAGCAGGTTAGTGGCATGATCGAGTTCTTCTGTAGTGCTTTGAGAGTATTGTTTGCATAGTTTCTCATCATAGAATTGTGACTCATTGTTAGGGGATTTATGCAACATTTTTTTTATTTCTTTCTTTCTTTTTTTCCAATTTCTTATAGGAAATAGACTGGAAATATTGGTGTTTAACTATGTATTTGTCATCAGTTACTGCAGGTTTGACTTCATTGTTTCTATGACAATGCTTAGAAATACATAAATCTTTACCAAATAGTAAAAGTACTTTGTCAAATTCATAAAAATCTGTATATTCCCTAAAGGGGTATGTTATTTTATGAGTAGATAATGAAAAAGAAAGGAAGGAAAGAAAAAAAAATTGTATATGTAATATATTTTTATGATTTTCTCCTTTTCTCATAACATTTTCAGATTTGAATATTTTTACAACTACATATTTCAAGTGATTAGAATTTGGGATAATATATCAAGACTTATATAAGGTAATGTTTTGAGAGAACAGTCTGGTATCTTATATCCTGAACTTATTCTCACCCATTACACTAACAGACTGTCAATGGATTCAGCGCGCAACTCCAGCATGGGAACAAAAGTGAGGAAGGAGATCCGCCCCATCACAGACTCCAGTTTTAAGAGCCAGTGCGTGGACAAAATTCTGGACTTCCTTGTCAGCAGGAGCTATGAACAGCTGGTTCAGCGAAGAACACTCCTCACACCTTCCACAAAAGATTTTGCTAACATCTTCAGCGTATGTGTTTTAGACTTATTATTTACTTTTGTATTGTTTGATTTTTTTTTCTCTTTCTGTTGTGGATATTGTGATTGAGTTTTAATCTTTTGTGCACTCTATCTACTAATTAGTTAGAATTTAGATATATCCAAAATTACATATAAAAGGAGATTTATTATAATGATATGGATTCTAATATTTTTTTTACATTTATTTTCAGTTTATATACAGGCACCTTGATGGTCAATATAATTTGCCAAACAGATTCGAAGAGGAAATTCCGCGCTTGTTAAAGCTTTTGAAATATCCAGTGCAGATGTCAAAATCATCCTTCATTACGGGTGTGTTGATTTTTTTTTATTTTTCTCTCTATAGGTAATATTTACTTATTTTACTTTATCTTTGTTTAAGTAAGTGGAAATCCAGGAAACATATTTCATGTCAAAATAGATGTGTTTTGAGGCAGAACTAACTTCAAAGATGATATGA